TTCCAAACTAGGCCGTTTCAATTTTAATAAGTTTTTGTTCCAACTGTGTCTTTAAAGGTTTATAACTATATATTTTGAAAGCTTCAAATGCGTGTGTTTACATGCGCAGCAAGGCGAGATTTTGAAAATGTAATAGATATTTTTGAATTTCCATGGCATAACAACAGTTTGTTGCGAACATTTTCTCGGCGAATTTTCTACTAACCTGAATATAAATCCAACTAAAATATAGGCATTTTCACAAGCTTTCAAACCATCCGCATTGGGGGTGTATGTCGTTAAATTTCGAATTAATATAAGCGGTTGAACCTTGTGCCTAAAACCAGACATATATTCCGACTAGCTAGAATATGTATTCCGACGGCAATTTTTACACCCTCGTTTAGGCAACGAATTCTCGCTCAATATTCTAGCTACAATACTATAGATCGTACCAAAATGTAGCTGAATTCACCAGCTATCTGACAATATGTGTAAAATTATTGTAGCTGTAATATTCGCACAGATATAGTCGATTACAGTGAAAATACAAAAAGTGTCCCACTTCCGCTTCTGTAGTTTGTTGTGATTTACTGTAATTTGTTCTGTTTTTCTGTAGCGATTACCGATTTATCGCCAAATACCGCGATAAAACTTAGTTTTTTCTATTTTTAAATATGATAATTTGTAGCAAAGGGAAATAATGCATTTTTCGTTAGTTTCATTGCATAAAAGGAACGAAATTTAAATTTTATCGCAGTATTTGCCGATAAATCGGTAATCGCTACAGAAAAACAGAACAAATTACAGTAAATCACAACAAACTACAGAAGCGGAAGTGGGACACTTTTTGTATTTTCACTGTAAAAGTCGTATGTTTATGTTGCATTAAACTTTCTAATTATAATTCTGGTTTCAAGTTTTGTTTACATTGTGTGATTTTAACCCCGTCGTTTAGACAACGTTTTTTCGCTCAATATTGTAGCTACAGGAATATAGCTCCCACTAAAATGTAGGCATTTTCACAAGCATTCAAACCATCTGCGGTAGGGGTGAATATCGTTAAATTTCGAATTAATATAAGCGGTTGAACCTCGTGCCTAAACCGGACATTATATTGTCCGACGGTAATTTTGACACCCTCATATCAGTACTCGTTTAGACAACGAATCACACAATGCAACATAATCCTTTATTCAACTATATCTGTGCGAATATTACAGGTATAATAATTTTACGCATATTGTCAGATAGCTGGTGTCTGGTGAATTCAGCTACATTTTGGTACGAGCTATAAGGCCGGTTTACACGACCAGTGTTTTGGGCACGGCACCCCTAAAAATGGGCACCCGTGCCCAAAATTTTAGGCACGGCACCTCTGCCTTTTGGCGTGTAAACGTGACAATAATCGGCACCGGTGCCGCAAAATTTAAACGTGCCGAGACTTTCTCACGAGGTAGTCTCGGCACGTCTAGCAAGGGGTGCCGTGCCCAAATTTCGAAAAAAAATAAAAAATGTGTTCGACATCGAGCATGCGCAAAACAAATTGTCTTCTTTCCAACATGGCAGCAAGCGGCGAAAAACTACAACTTGCCAAAAATAAAAAAAAGGGTTAAAAACAAATTTAAATAACACAGAATGTGAATGTTGCTCTAGTTGACTCGGAAATTTTGATTCCACGTACTGTTCGTCGCTGAAGAGAGCAGTAACTAGGTCGTAGCAAATAGCTGTCGTTCGATGCGTCCATACCTCTCGAATTCGTGGCGGGTGAATACAAGATGGCACAACATTTATGCGAGAAAACAACTCCTTTCGTCTTAAAGGACCTGTGGTTATTTCGGTTAACGAGAAAACTTTTCAACTAGCCAAATATACTTTTGTTCTGTTCACATGCATGGAGAAATGTTATTCCGCTTACCGGGTAAAGTTTCCGGCTGTGACATAGCACTGAATATTAATTGAATTGTAAAGTCAGTACTGACACGACAGAAAGCTATCCTGCCAAGCGGGAACTAGAGTTGTGTTCATATGGGAAAAACATTATCACTTGACAAGCGAGATCTCGGTACGTACACGGGAAAACGTTTTGTCTTATATGAACGCAGTGTAAACAAACTTTTCATATTATTTTCATACCAAGGCGAGATCTCGCTTGTAAACTTTTCGAAAAGTTTTTTCACTAACCAGGATAACTTTTGCCCATATGAACTGGCCCTTAAAGTACGTTCCTAGTATTGAATTGGGTTTTCCCTCGATTTTCAGCTCATATAATATCCAATAAATATAAATATACAATTCCATTTCTGGCCGGCATATTTATTCTTTAAAATATACCGTCGTAAACGGAAAATAGAGGTGCCGTTTTCCGATGGGCACGCACTGAATATCAATTGAATGGAATAGATGCTGATACGACAGAAAGTTATCCCGCTAAGCGGTAAAGTTGTGTTCATGCATATGGGAAAAACATTATCCCGGTCACCGAGATCTGGCTTGTCAACAAGCGAGATCTCGGTATACACGGGAAAACTTTTTGTCTCATATGAACGCAGTGTAACTTTTCATATTATTTTCATACCAAGGCAAGATCTCGTTTGTAAACTTGTCGAAAAGTTTTCTCGCTAACCGGGATAACTTTTGCCCATATGAGCCTTAAAGTACTTTTCTAGTATTGAATTGGTTTTTCCCCTCGATTTTCGGCTCATATAATACTCTTCTTCGTTCCAATAAATATAAATATATAATTCTATTTCTGTCCGACATATTTATTCTTTAAAATATACCGTCGTAAACGGAAAGTAGAGGTGCCGTTTTCCGATGGGCACGGTGCCTATCATAAAAGTGTGTTTACAAAATGTTGTCGTGTAAACGAGTAAATAGCGAAGTGGCGGTTTTGGCACGGTGCCCATTTTCAGGGGTGCCGTGCCCAAAACGCTTGTCGTGTAAACCGGCCTTATATCTGGGTGTTGAAAGTCATGTGACCGGCCGGTGCCAGGGCCTTTTCCCGCCTTCCCAATGACAAAAAGGGAAAAGCCCTGGGAACGAGGTTGGGATGATAGTCTGGTACTTTGTTTATGTTCTCCTAAGCATGATTATACATGATTATCCAGGTGCCAGTTGTATAAAACTCTTTAAAGGGTATGGGCAATGAAAATTGCTTCATCTATCTTATTGCTTCGTCTGAAAGAGCATGAAAAAATAAGCCGATTGGCCGTTTACTGCTCTATTCTATCTCATCTGGTTCCGAAGTTATACGCAAAAATGTGCAAAATATAAATTGCTGATTCAGCACAATGTGTGACGCCATAACTGGGTAAGTATGTTTATTGAATAGTAAACTAAAGCATAGCTGAGTTATTATTGGTTCAAATCAAATGAAATTTTGCATACCGATAGTAAATGATGAGATGCATGGGAAAATACTTCTAATTTCGTTGTCAAGGCAACGCAGTCGTTCCCAGGCCCCTTACACTGATTTTGAATAACTAGTTGCATTTCTCTATGTGTATGTCATTTTCGAATTATTATCATGCAAGTAAACTTTCGGCATGCATAGATATCGTACACATACTTCTGATATTATTTTATTTTTATCAGTACCATGAATAAAACTGTTTTATAAAATTGGCGCAAGAGGCCTGGGAACGACATTGTAACCTTGGCAACAAAATTAGAAGTGTTTTTCCATGCGTCTCATCATGTACAATCAGTATCCAAAATTTCATTTGATTTGGGCCCATAATAACTGAGCTATGATTCAGTGTAGTATTCAATAAACATACTTACCCAGCTAATGACGTCACACGATGTGCTGAGTCAGCAATTTATATTTTGCACATTTTTGCGTATAACTTCGGAACTAGATGAGATAGAATAAAGCATCAAACGGCCAATCGGCTTATTTTTTCATGCTCTTTCAGACGAAGCAATAAGATAGATGAAGCAATTTTCATTGCCCATACCCTTTAACTACATTTTGGGTTGTAAAATCGTAGTTAACTCTAAAATACACGATTCTGATTGACCAAGTCTTTCACTAACTATAGTTAAAAGTTAATAACTACGTTTTTATACAACCGGCCCCGGGCTTGTAGTAGCCCCATCCCACCAAGGGCAAGGTTTCATTTTCGAAATTGAAAATACGAAATTCGGACCGCCGTTTTCGGGAGGGGTTTTCTCCGTTTCCCTCCTATTTGTTTCGTTTTAAAAAACACTGTCCATGTTTGGGGCCAAACCAAGATATGACACAAGAGTTCTTTGATAGACGAATTTTTTTATAGAATAGTTGAGCGCAACAGTGTAACCCAGTACCATAATAACTGTTCAATATATGTTTGGCCCCTGGTGAAAATCCCATACTGTCCAAAATGTTGAAAATTATGGGCGAAATATTTATGCTAGATTCAAGTCTGTAAAGAAGAGCTCAATCTCCATCAAGATTCTCAGCTTAATTACCCTTGCAATAAATATTCGCTTTTAGATTGCAAATTTCGCATAAGTCGCATGTTAAAAGAATGAAAAGATTTCTTTTACAAGAAATGTTAGGAATGCCTTTAATACTTTGGTTTCCTTCTGTAATAAAACTGAAAAGATAAACAAATTTAGGTCTCAAATATTTAACCTAAAGAATGAATAAGTCGGTGTACATGGCTCTGGGTGTGAGATTGGCTTGCATTGGTGCTGACAGGGCACGAGCGCCGCATAAGCGCAAGCACAACAACAACGGTTCACTTTGATGTGCTTATGTTTACTGCAACATAAACAACGTAAGAGGCTGTCCTCACTTGTTGCAACATCAACGCAAGCACAAGAAGAACACAAGTCGTTGATATCTTATGTTTGCTCTTATGATTTGGTGTCCTCACTGGTGAATAACCTTGGTTTAGTTATGCTAATTTCCCGCACAATATAGAAATTCATTTTCAGTATGCGGAAACACGCTGATTTAATAATAGTGACGTAATGCAAAAGTATCAAATAACAAATGCATGGGATTTCCCCTAAAGTTTAATTTCGTTCCTTCGTTTTAAAACGTAACTTACAGCAAGATTGTCGCTCCGAAAACCGTCGTAATGTTAAAGTATGTCCAGGATTGTTAACTTCGTGGTAATATAACATTTTTACGATCATTCTGGTTGTCCTAAAGACGTATTTGAGGCAAATTTGAGGTTGGTATTTCCGTATTTGATATGTTGTTGTGAAATGTTCGCCTCAATGATACTCATGTGATCAGACAAGGAATTTGATGTAATTAATGTCTTTACAAATTTAGTTTGTAATGTCTAATATGGATAAACGTAGGACTATGAAATATATATTATTTGATATAAAATGGATATTTGGTATAAAATGGTACATATACGCAATGTATATATCGTTTTTCATCATGTAAATCATGACTGCATGTTTTAATACATTCGAAGTGCGTATTCAAGGGAGTCGTTTAATTGAATTGCGATTTAGTACTTACTACGAGTTACTAGGCTTTGAAAGTAGGAAATCTAATGTGCTATTATAACGATAAGATGATAATCAAGGTTTCCCACGGGATTTATTTTGTAAATGGTTCACAAAAAATGTATAATGTTTCGGTAAAAATGTATAATGTTACGGTAATGTTTGTCACATTAGTTTAGTACATTAGTACATAAATTTGGAGTTTTTCATATTTTTTCATCTGGGGATCAGCTACCCCCATAACAACCCCCCCCCCCCCCCCCCCCTATGCCTATGACTTCAATCTTCATATCGTTCTACTTGCGATTATCTGAAAGACAGAACACTTGTTTTGACATACCCATATTTGACGATTTCATTGTATGACCTTATTGGATCAGTTATCATTATCATCGAACAAAAATGTTACAATTATGAATATCACATGAAATGAGCAATAAAAAATATTGTTTCGCTTAGTACGTTTATCATGGACCTTATTCATATAGATGGTGGCCAAAACAGATTAATTTTCTGGCGTATCACAGGCAAACTAAACGAGTTTTTCATTTCTCTTTAAAATTGCAACATTACCATCATTCTACTTTTATATCAATGTATATTTTCCGATTGGATTAACCCTTATTAAGGGTGAACAATTAGAAAAGTGATGG